ACACACTAGAAAAACATGTTCACTTCTGCTGTCATCAAGTTACAATTGATGAGGAACTGATGTAGTTGTTTATCAAATAAGAATTCTTGTACATTAATTTGCATTTACTTCAAGTTAATGTCATTCGATCTTACAATAAGTGACAAACTGAAGAAAGTTATCGAACACAATTATTAAATTTTATCATAACAATAACAATTTGGTATTTGAATATAATTTTAAATACAACAAACTTACAATATGTATTAAATGGTAAATGGTAAACAAATTACAATAACTAATATTAAATGGTAATAAACAAAATTAACCAAAATACATTAACAAAAAGTCAAACAAATTTAACAAAATAAATTAAAATAAATCCAACCAAATTAATGAAATAAAGTAAGTATTAAATGATAAATAATAAAAATATTACAATAAAAAAGTTCAATAAACAACTAAATACAAATATAATAAAAAAATAAAATCTATCGATGTCTGCGACGCGAATGTGTTCTGCAGGGTAGTGGTTGTCGGTCTTGAGGAGGATTTCTTCGTATCAGTGGTTGTGACTCCTCGCTGTCATCACCATCATCGTCATCGTCGTCGTCATGGTCATCGTGAGAAGCTACATAAGGTTGATGAGGAGCTGATGACGATGAATCACCTCCATAGAATAAGGACCCTGGAGGTGTATGACTGACTATCCCACCGGCCTGCGAAAACTGAGAAAACTCATAAATCCCAGACATCGCTGAGTATGAAAACTGTACAAGAGGTATCTGTGATGCGTCCATGGGTGATGTGGTTAAACCCGCCAAAATATGGGCATATGAACCCCAAGTCGGATCTGCAAATATAGATCCATAATATCCTCCAGGAGGGGTCATAAAACTCTGTGACGGTGGCGGTGGCGCTGACGGGGTCATAAAACTAGGTGGCAGCGGCAGCATCGGGTAAGGGAACGGCGATGATGGCATCACATATGGCTGCGGAAGGTAAGTCGCTATAGACGGTGGCTGCTGTTAAGGTCCTGCTGGTGCAGCTGAGGATGAACCAAAAGTACCTGCTCTCCGTCCATGAGTCGAGGGACGATGGTACTGTGTTGGTGAACATCTCTGTTGACGTCGCTAAAAGGTTCGCCCTCATGCATCCTCGGAAAGCAGAAATGGTTTTCCGTTACAGTTGAACCATTCGTAATAACCATCAGCAACCATCAAGAGGTCAGTAAAAAATGGGATCTCTACGGGGAAGGTGCCGATGTCGATCCTCTCACAGCACGACCCACTCGTGATGCCTCACCAGCCAATCTGTATCGGTCTTGCCGCGTCTATCTGTGCTATGCAACTCATCCATATTGCGAGGTGTTTCCGAAATTGGTTGAAAACAACCAAATTGTCGGAGCACGCGATCAGTGGAGTGCCACTCGACGATCGCATAACAGATCAAATGGACCATCGCCATCCAAACATCTAATAGGCCCCTCAACTCAGGTGAGATCATCATCCTCACATCATCATTAGAATATGTCACACATTCAAACTAAAACAAATATATATAATTTTTATCAAAATAATAATCTAATTATACAACTATAATCTAAAATCGATTTTTAAACATTAAAATGCATACTTGTGTGTCAGCCTTCTGATCGATTAACACCCTAATTTTTTCTAAATCATCAGGTAGCTCCTGATGATTTTTCCTATTAGTAGACCACATATTCAAGGAAAACAAAATTTATTATACACTGTATAAAATGATTAATATACAAAATCAGTTTTATAATTACCTCAAGAGTAGCGGAAATACGAATGGGTTCTTGACAACGGGATATAAAAAGGGTAATCAATACCATGCCCAAGACTGCAGCAGCAGGAGACATCTGCCGATAGCATTTTTCCTGTAGTCAGTGGCTCGACATATCTCCCTGTACATGAAAGCCAAAATTGTCGTGCCCCAACTAAGTGATCCGGCCAGACGAAAGTTGCCAAGATGTCGCAACCACATACAGTGAACTTAGTTACGCAATTTGTCCACATCAGCAACCCTCATATCAGCTGTAGTATGCATGCCCATGCATACATTTTAACTTCATCATCAGAGGCGTCCTCGTTCAACTCCCGAAAATTGGTATCTAACCAATTTAACGGTATCCGACCACCGTTAAAACTTTCCGGGACACGTCCTAGATAGTCTCGGCACAAAGCAGTCCATGAACCGTGCTCCATCCACGATATCACATCTCCATCCACCGAAAGCCCCAGGTGCATAGAAACATCCTCAAGTGCAATCGTGCACTCTCCGTACGAAAGATGGAATGTATGGGTCTCCGGCCTCCACCGCTCTACTAAGGCAGAAATAAGGTCTGATTCTATCTTACAGTGACCCTCATATCTACCTATTTGATAGAATCTAGCCTCTACTAAATATGACAAGACACGGCTAGGTATCACTAACTTAAGGTTCCTAATAAAAGGATTTAATACACGATCCCTATCCTAAAATTAAATAATTACAAAAATTATTTTTTAAACTAATAATCATGCATTAAATAAATAAATTATTACTAAAAATTTAAATTATATTAAAACGTTAAAATGTTACTGTATCAGCAAAATGTCGCAATATATAATTTCCATCCAAGCGAAGTAGACCTCCTTCCATTTTATATCTGCAAAAAAATTAATTAAATAAAATATTAAAAAATTTAAATACTTAAATAAATTAAAAACAAAATATTAAATATAATAAAATATACCTTAAACAGTTAAAATATAATATAAGAGTAATTGAGAGAAGTTGAGAGGATTTGGTGTGATGAAAGTGATTGTGAATGGTGGTATTTATAGGGAGGGGGTGGGGTGTGAACGGCCGGGAGTAGGTGGGTAATTAAACCTAAGGCGCGCTGCAGGGGGCGCGCCTTACTGACGTGTGGTAGATTTAAAGGTAAAGCGCGTCCTCTGCCCCGCGCTATACCCCACGTTGCACCAGATCAACGTAAAGCGCGTTGCAGGGGCGCGCCTTACTGCAAAGGGTGTTAGATCGGGAAAAATAGTCTGAAAGGTGCCTGACAGGAAAATATAAAGTCAAAAGGTGATATATCGAGAAAAACACCGTTTAGTTTACATTAATGGATAGATCAAAGGGGCAGACACTCACTGAAAATTTAAAATTACCATATATTTTATTATTTTCTATATATTTTCTATTGAAAATATGTTTCCGCCTCTACTAAAATGTTATAAGTTCGTCATTTAACGTAAAATTCTGTTTTTGTTGTTGTTTACACTTATGATTGTAAGCATTTTATTATAATTTTAGATATTTTCTTTTAATAAGATTAGGTGCTTTTAATTGCATAAAAAATCAATTCAAGCATGAATGCATGAGCTACATGCTTGACTTAAAACATAAAAAGCTTAGGGTGCAAAACTATAAATTATTATTTTTGTTAAATATAACTTTGATGATTTTGAACAAATATTTTTATAATGTTTTGTAAATAATTTTTAACATAAAATTCAATTCGATTTTTATAAAGAATTCATCACTTAAATTATTTTTTTCTCTAAACATTTTTACTAAACTCTCAGACAATAAGAATAATTTTAAAATGTTTTATCGAGTATTTCACATTTAAATTTGTTTGAATTTGAGAATATACTGAAATGGTACTGATATTCAATTTTATATTATTTCATATATTTTTTTCTGATAATATTATACTAAAGACGTTTTCTAAAACACAATATAATTATTCATACGAAACTTGATATTTTGGGTAAGTTCTTTTCACTCCTATGTATATATTAGTGAATCATGTCATGTGAATTGAAAATTTGCATTTATTCGATAGTTAAATGTTTACAAATAAAAATACACTTTCATGAACATGAGTTATGAGTATATTTTACTCCAACAGAAATTGGATTTCATAGATACATTTTTCATTAGGCCTGTAAATGAATTGAACGTTCAGCGAACCTTGCGGCGGGATGTTCGTTTATTTATTAAATGAATGAACATGAACAAGATTTTGTGTTCGTTTAATTAAATGAACGAACATGAACAAGATTTTACATTCGTTTAATTAAATGAACGAACACGAACAAAGGGCTCGTTCGTTCATTTACGTTCGTGAATGTTCGATTATATGTTCGTTCATTTTTGTTCATTTATGTTCGAACAAAGGGCAAGTTGAATATGTTACGAAGATTATTGAAGTTGTTTGGATTTCAAGAAGATTGTTTTGTTGAACGAATTAACTTTAAGACTTTATTATGTTCATATAACTTATTTATGATTTATGTATGTTTTTATCGTATTCGAACAAATTAAATATAAAGTTACAGGTTATATTAATGATTTTTAAGTTGTTATTCTTGTTGTTTACTTTTTTTTTACATTCGTTTGTTGTGTTCGAATAAGTTTTTTGGTGTGTTTGTGTTGTTCGTTTATGTTCGTTCATTGTATTCGTTTATTTTGTTCGTTCGTGTTCGTTCATTGTGTTCGTTTATTTTGTTCGTTCGTGTTCGTTTATTATTTAAATGAACGAACATGAACAAACTATATTCCTTGATGAACGAACATGAACAAAAAAAGTGTTCGTTTATATTTATTTATTTATTAAATGAACGAACATGAACATACATCCGTTCGTGTGCGTTCCGTTAATTTACCTGCCTATTTTCCATCTAAGCAATCCCACTATACCCCGCTTGGGGAATAGTATGCCATAGATGACAATTATATCAACGGTTCAAAGCCGCACGCACAAACACACTCAACACGGATCGATACACAAACCGTTGGATAATATCTTAATCGAACGGCACTAGTCTTAAATCCGCTTCAAGATCGATTTCCAGCCAACAAAATCAAAAGCCGCGGATTACACTTACACACCGTTCGATAACGTTCATATCTAACGGTTTATATTATTCTCTGGCATTGCTAACCCCCAAAAAAACACAATCGAAGAACCTCCCTATTTAAACCTTCATCAATATCACTCGGTTTCAAGTTTTCGAAGTCATTTTATTCTCTCTCAAAGCTTTATTGAATCGTGAAAATGTCGGGCCGTGGAAAGGGAGGAAAGGGGTTGGGAAAGGGAGGAGCAAAGAGACACAGGAAGGTTCTTCGAGATAACATCCAAGGCATTACGAAGCCGGCGATTCGAAGATTGGCTCGTAGAGGCGGCGTGAAGAGAATCAGCGGCTTGATCTACGAGGAAACTCGCGGTGTCCTTAAGATCTTTCTGGAAAACGTGATCCGTGACGCCGTTACCTACACGGAGCACGCTAGGCGTAAGACCGTTACCGCCATGGATGTCGTTTACGCTCTGAAGAGGCAGGGCAGGACTCTTTATGGTTTCGGTGGTTGATCCGTATTTTAGGCTTCCGAATTTGGTTCTAGTCTCTTTTGTAAATCTGTTGCAATAGTTTGTTGCTAAGCCCTTGTTTGTCATTTTTCTGTAGTGCAATGTATTTTGATTTCGAGCTTCAATGGATTTCTATGGAAATTTGTTATCAAAATATAATTGGATTTATATATTCTGGGCACTTGATTGTAGATTTCCAGTTTTATTTATATAGTGGTCGTCTGAGATTAGCTTCGTAAAAGCAGCTATGCGTTTTGCTTTCAGGCAGAGTCTGCAAAATCCCGTTATTTGCTATGTAAATCGCTAAGAAATGTTGCAAACGAAATAAGAAAAACTTGAATTACTAGCTATCGCCATTGAAAATCTTGCAAGAATTGAGCTTTACCTTAATGTTGGCATCATTACTAGAACTGGATTTATTTGTACGGGCAACGTCGTTTTGTTTTTTTATCGTATAACATTTAAATGGGCTATTTTTAAGGGTCTTTGAACCTTTGATTTAAGTAAGCCATTTTCGGCCTTTATGGGTTTAAAGAAGATGAACTAAACTATATCAACGCATAGCCCAAGTTAGCGCACAGTCCAAGTTAACGCCTTTATCATTAAATCAAATGAATCCAGTTTGGATTAAAATTAGAATCGATATGTCTAGTTATTTTTTTATTTCAAACAACTAAACCATTACAATTTATGCTGTTCCTTAACATTTGGTATGTTGTGTGTGAAACAACTTGCAGTCAAATGAATTAGCCATGATACAAAAATTCAAACCTCAAAATCCTAGTTTCAAGCAAAATCAAAGAGAAGATGCAAAACTGACATGCTAGAGTTGTAATGAGGAGATGGTGAGTTAAAAACGCAACCTCATGAAGATTATTTTCTAAAAGCTGCTTTCTTTCATCTGTTGCCTTTACTGAAGCGCTGCATATCCTCAGGCGTCATGATTTGGTAATAATCCTATATTTCTTCTTATTTATTTTAAATTCTATATTAATTCTCATTGCTATTAAAATAAACTTACTTCCCATTGTCATTTTAATTCTCTCTCTGTTTGATTTTCAATTAGCTTGGAACTATGGTATTATGCAGGTATTATACCACTGAAGCTGCTTTGCGATGTGTCATAACCATTTTTCAAAAAAACAATTTAATATTATTTTAAAAACAATTATGACTTTAATTTAGAAAATTGGTGATTTGAAATTAATTTGAATTAAATTGGAAAAGGAGTCGCCATCGACCTTTAGATTAGGCAGGTCGAATACCTAAAAACGTCTTTCAAAATAATTTTAAGAAAAATCATTTTTAAAGGCAAAAGGGGTCCACGTTTACCAGAAAATCGATTTGATGGGTTCGGGAGTCGGTTACGCGTGGGGAAGGATTAGCACCCCCACAGCGCCCAAAATTGGTACTGTATCGCTTACATATCGTCGTGATGATGGAAATTATAAATCGAATATAAAGTTAAATTACGATCCATTTATTGAAATTTAATTAATTTGCTTCGAGTTAACTATTTAAAGAAAATCCTTTAACTCGATAAGAAATCTTGAAACTTGCAATCCTCCGTCGGGAAAGCTATTTCAACTATTTCTCATTTGTAAAAGAATATTCTACCATTGATTATGTAAAAAAAATGTGAATCAAATATAACTAAAAACGATGTTTACATACGAGTAAATTGATTAACTAAAAACGTGAATTGAATACAAATTAAAAAATCTGAAATTTTCATTCACATAAAATAAAATAAATTGTCACTTAAAATAACACACATTGCATCGTTTGAACAAATTAATTAGCAAAATATACTCGACTTATTTCAAGTTTCTATGTCGTTAAAATGCCGTACCGGATCACACCACTTCGATCAATTGGTACTTTCCACGCTCATTCTACGCATACGTACTTGAAAATAAAATCAAAAATCATTTCATGGATAAAAACGTAATATAAACAAATGTAATTGCAAATACAAGATAAAATATTTACATTAAATGAAATTAAAAACATTATTTACATAATACAAATAGCCAAATAATAAGTGCAATAAAATCATACATAAATGACTAAAATAAAAAAGAAAATATTATAAACCAAGATAAGATTATCAAAAGGTAAATATTTGTAATTACAAGGATCAAAAGGAAGAAAAACAGAAACTTGATGTACTAAAATAGTAAATACAAGAATTTAAGGGAGTAAATAGCAAATACAGAAACTGAATAGGTTAAAAACAGAAGAAAAAGAAATTTAGGGACCAAAATAAAGAAATAGAAACTAATGGGACTAAACAGTAAAAAACCAAAGTCCGAATTACAAATATTAAATAATACATGTATCAAAATGAAGATAACCCAAAAATAATATAGAGGACTAAAATGAAATTTCACAGAAACATGGAGAATTAAAAAATAATTAAACAAAAAAAAAACTAAAACAATGACTAAAATAAAATATTTACAAATGTAGTGGCCAAATTCGAATAACACAAAGATTATAAAATACATTGAATCAGTGATCAACTTGAAATATTTGAAAATATTAAAACCAGAATCAAATATAGACAAAATGATATAAAACATGAATAGTGACTAGTTTATAACAGTGTAAAGATAAAGGCTCAAAGTCAAATAATTACACAAAACATGTAAATGATGACTAAAACGAACACTATACAAAATAAGCAACCAAAAATCTAAACACTTAGAAAATATAATACTAATCATATAGGATTAAAACGAAACACGAAATAAATAAAGAGATCGAACTAGAAAGATGAAATTTCATTAAGGATCATATTACAAGCATTACAAAGCTCAAGGTACTTAAACTGTAATTTACCCCGAAAATGGAAAAAACACATATGATATTACAAAATAACGAGGACCAAAGTTGACATTAACCCTTAAACCCAACACTTGGTCTCCCTCCCTAGGCCTAAAACGACGCCGTATTGAAGCTGGGATATAATCCCAATTTAAGGGTTACCAACCGAACCCTAAATCATTTTCAAATCCCTCTCTCAGCCTCTTTTTGACTTTCCTCTCTCTAATCTCCCTTCTCCCTCGCCGCAACAAGAAAACAGAGGCTCCCCGGCCACCGTATCGGTGGCCATGGGGAGCAAACCGACCCCTAAAGACCCTCAATCCTCATTCTTCCTCATTTCCTTTGAAAACCCAACCCTTCACCCCACAAAAAAAACCGAGAACCCCTTCAATTCCAAACCTAGATTCAAGAAAAAAGAATGTTTTACCTTCGATTTAGGGTTTTTCAAGCTCTGGTGAGGTTGATAAGGGATAGATCTACAAGGGTAAGACTTCCCCTTTTCCTTCTCTCTATGTTATTTTTTTTTCCGAATATCCTTCCCCTTTTTGGTTGCTTCCCTATCTTCTTTTTATGGTTGCATGTTTTTTTTGATGATATGATGATGCTAGCGTAGGGGTAAGGGTCTCTGATCTTGGTAGGGACAAATTTCCCGATTTATCGGGATTTAGGTATTTTTAATTTAGGGTTTTGATTCTAGTTGATGGATTGACAAATTGACTGATTTGTTTTACTGTGTGGCCTTTGTTGATGACACCGGCGTCTCGGGAGTGCTCGACGGTGGCTCGACGCGGCTGAGAGATGGAAGGAAAAACGGCGGCGGCGGTTGGCTATTGGATGATAGTTTTTAGGGTTTCAAACCCAAATTGCTTTGGGCCAGATCCAGGCCTGGTTCGGGTTCCAGCTGGCTGGGTATGCTGCGGGATTGGGCCAGTTCATTTGTATCTGCTGTTGGGCTTAGGGATTAGGCCTACAAAAATATATATGTAACATAATTAATAATAACAATAAACAAAATAATAATAATAAATAATAATAATAATAATAATAAATATATAAATAATAATAATAAAAAAGACCCGGACAAAAACGGGTGTCTACAGCTGCCCCTCTTTGCACATTCTTGTGTTAACAAGAATAGGGCAAAGACGGTAAGACAACACGTTTTTGTCTGGTTCTCTTCCATTTATGTATAGAAATTGGATAATATTGGTTGTTGGGGACGACACTGCTCCTACGTGATGAAGAGTTCGGGTCGTTTTAAGGTTAACGCGATTCCTACGTGATGAGGAAATCTGGTCGGGGAATGACACGGCTCATACGTGATGAAGAGTTCTGGCCATCTAAAGGTGATAACACGGTTCCTACGTGATGAGGACGGCTGGTTATCTATGGTTGACACGGCTCCTACGTGATGAGGAGATCTGGTCTGGGAATGACATGGCTCATACGTGATGAAAAGTTCTGGCCATCTAAAGGTGATAACACGGTTCCTACGTGATGAGGACGGCTGGTTATCTATGGTTGACACGGCTCCTACGTGATGAGGAAATCTGGTCTGGGGATGACACGGTTCCTACATGATGAGGACGGCTGGCAATCTTTAGGAGTTATGGTTTCAAGAGAAACCAATTCAAAGATTTGTTTCAAAAGAAACAGACTCAAAGATTTGTTTCAAGAAAAACAAGCTCAAAGATAATGTGTTTCAAAAGCAACTGTCTCGAAAGAGACAAAATTCATTTCAAATGAAACAACTCAAAAGATGACGTTTAAAGGGAATTGTCTCAAGCGAGACAAAATTTGTTTTTAAGGGAAACGTTCTCAAATATCTGTGTTTCATGGGAAACTGTCTCAAATGAGACAAAATTCATTTCAAGGGAAATGATCTCAAAGATGTTTGTTTTGTTTCAAGGGAAACAAATTCAATGATGGTAAATTTTGTTTTCCAAAGAAACAAACGCAAAGATTTTTCTCAAAGAAACTGTCTCAAGAGAAACAAAATTTTGTTTCCAAAGAAAGAGATTCAATGATTTTTTTTTTAAAAAAGACATTTTCATAAGAGACAAAACTTTGTTTTTCAGAAAATTGTATCTTAGTGAGACAAAATTTTGTTTCCAAAGAAACAGACTCAGATTTTTCTTCAAAAGAAACTGTTTTAAGGGATAAAACCTTGTTTCCAGAGAAACAAACTCAAAGATGATCTTGTTTTAAGAGAAAATGTTTTAAGAGACAAAATTCGTTTCAAGGGAAACGACTCAAAGATGACATTGAAAGGAAACTGTCTCATGCGAGATAAAATTTGTTTTAATAGAAACGATCTCAAAGGTGGGTATTTTCAAAAGAAGT